TCCCTCCCTCCCTTCCTTCCACTCTAAAAATCAATGGAAAATATCCTTGGGTGAGGATTAAATAAAAAAAGAAAAAAGATAGACATAGGTATGGATACTTTTCCTCTACCTGAATGAATTTACATAGGTTCTAAATAACAAACTGGTTGCTTTCTTAATTAATTTTCTAAGACATTTTTGAGGAATGATATTGATGGTTTTATTTCCACAAAAAATTTATTTAATTCATAATAGATAATATCTGTATTAATAGTTATATAGAATCTAGCCTTTTTATTTTTATTTTTTAGTCCTCACCCAAGGATCTGCTCATTGATTTTAGAGAAAGGGAGAGAAAGAGAAACATCGATAGGTTGCTTCCTGCATGTGCCCCAACAGGGGACCAAACCCGCAACCTTCTTGGTATAGCAGATGACATTCCAACCAATTGAGCAGCCTGGCTGGGGCAGAATCTATCCTTTTTAAAGACATTGTTTCTGTGGGACTATGAATTTCACATTTCTTCTGGGAATACCGGGGAAGTCTGTCGTCATGCTTTGGGGTTGTGTCTTACAGGCAGCACAGCATTCTCAGAAGCAGTCTACTGAGCTCTTCCAGTGCATGTATTTTAAAGACAAAGACCAAGAAGCTGAGGAGCGTTCCATATCTGATGGGGTTATTTATTCAATTAGAACAAATGGTGTACTCGTATTTATACCAAGGTATTTTATGTCTAACATAAAAAGTGTTAAGAAATCAAGTTAAGCCCTGGCCGGTTTGGCTCAGCGGTTGGAGCGTCGGCCTGCGGTCCTGAGAGACCCGGGTTCGGTTCCCACTAAGGGCGCATACCTCAGTTGCAGTTTGTCCCCGGCCCTGGTCGGTTGTGCGGGTGGCAGCCACTCGATGTGTTCCTTTCACTTCAATGTTTCTCTCTCTCTCTCTGTTCCTCTCTCTCTCCCTCCCACTCTACCTGAACAAAAAAAAAAAGAAATCAAGTTAAACTAAAACTGTAGAATACAAGCAGTACTTTAGATATTTCTTAAAATATTAATTTTAGCAATTATTTATGGTTACCATATGTACATAATGTAATACACAGGGTGGGGCAAAAGTAGATTTACAGTTGTTCATATGGAAAAGGATACAATAATTCATTAATAATAAAAGGATAAATTGTTTTGTATACTCAAAATTGTAAACTTATTTTTGCCTCATCCTATATAATTCATTATATAAATATTAAAGATTAGAATGTAGTATATCTCTGTATCAGTTTTAGGATAGGATTTTACTTATTTAACAAGATATTTTGTTTCTATTTTATCAATGATATATTTAGAGGTAAATCACAGAGGAAATTGTTTTTAATCTAGAAGAAAAACTAGCATCTAGATAAATATATAAGATCTGCATACTAAGAATACATTATCTCTGGATTTTTATTCTGGCCATGATGCAGGTTCGGGATAAAAGGTGCTGCTTATCTAAAAAATAAAGATGGTTTAGTAATCTCATGTGGCCCAGATAGCCGTTCTGAATGGAAACCAGGATCCCTTCAACGATTTCAGAACAAAATCACCTCTACCACAACAGGAGGGAAATCTGTTACGTTCCATTTATTTGACCATGTGACAGTAAGTCTGTGTTTACATTAAATATTGCTTTCAGTGTAAAGAACAAAGAACATGACTTAATGTGCATTTTATCCTCTGTGATAGGTGAGAATATCTGTACAGGCCTCACGTTGCCATTCTGATACAATCAGGCTTGAAATAATGAGCAACAAACCATACATGATACCAGATACAGAACTTTTTCATCAGAGTTCCCTCTTGCTAAAGAGTGATTTAGTGAAAGAAGTAACTAGATCTGTGGAGGAAGCTCAGCTTGCCCAAGAAGTCCAAGTAAACATCATTCAAGAAGATTATCAAAAATATTGCCAAACCAAGGGAAGAAGCCTATACATACTTCTAGAGGAGATACGGGACCTGGCTCTCCTGGATGTTTCAAACAGTCATGGAATATGACTCATCTTAATTCAATAAAAGAGTTTTATCTTATATGAATGTTTTATCCTCTTTTCAGTATTGGTAATCTAATTCGTGTCACCCAATGCTCTAGTTGCTTGAGATTGGGTAGATGTTTCACGTACCGTAGTGCCCCCTTATCTGCAGTTTCACTTTCCGTGGTTTCAATTACCCAGTCAACCACAGTCCAAAAATATTAAATGGAAAATTCCAGAAATAAACAATTCATAAGTTGCAAATTTCATGTCTTTCTGTGTAGCATGAAATCTTTCGCTGTCCTGCTCCACTCTGCTTGGGACATGAACCATCCAGTGTATCTATCCAAAGCATACCAGTGGGTATATGCTACCAACCTGTCAGTCACTCAGTCATCTTGGTTAGCAGACTATCAGGATCGCAGTGTTTGTGTTTCAGGTAACCCTTGTTTTACTTAATAATGGCCCGAAAGTGCAGTGATGCTGACAATTCGAATGTGCCATAGAGAAGCAATAATGTGCTTCCTTAAGTGAAAAGGTGACAGTTCTCAGTAAGGAAAGGAAAAAAAAAATCATGCTGAGGTTGCTAAAAACTACAGTAAGGATGAATCTTCTGTGAAATTGTGAAGGAAAAAGAAATTTGTGCTAGTTTCCAGAGACCACATTCCCATAACTTTTATTCCAACATGTTATAATTCTATTGTTACTGTTAATTTCTCACTGTTCCTAAACTAAATCTTATATATATGTATATATAGGAGAAAACACAGTATATACAGGGTTTGGTACTCTAGTTTCAGACATGCACTGGGGGTCTTGGAACTTGTCCCCTGGAGATAAGGCAGACTACTGTATGTGTAAAATCTTCTCATCATTCAAGTTGTATTAAATAGTATAATTAGGTCACTATGGAAACTGACTTTTCAGAAATGAATAGTGAATGGTGTCTGCAAATCAGGTTGCTGGTTGCTTTTTAATAAATCCAGAATTAATGTTCAGTTAGCTTGTCTCAAATCAGTTCTTTCAAATAAATTTTTTCCGGTATTTGCTACATTGGGCCATTTGGGTCATAGGCCCCTCTGCCATCTGTCAGATTAACTTTTCCGTCACTTTCAGATAGTAAGACTTAGTCCTGTCCACCTATCCCTTTAGAATTTTCATATTTGACTCTAACCTCCCCTTGCTGTCCCCAGCAGCAGTTGGTGATAGGGCACAGGAGTAGGGTGGGATGTGCAGGTAAGCTCTGTTCTCTCAAACCTCCCTTTCCACCCTCATTTCTCTGAGTACTCCTTGGTTGCATTGGTCTTGCCCTTGTTGGAGACTTGTCATTTTGCCAGCAAATCCCATCACTGGAAATATAACTAACTCCTTTCCCTTTGTCATCTCCTCTAGTCCAGCTGGTGAGGGTAGAGAACCAGAACAGGCCAACCTCAGAAAGCAGTTTCTCTAGGCATTGGTTGCATCTGAAGAGACTGGGCTCCATATTTTTTTAATGTTTTTATTGATTTTTAGAGAGAAAGGGAGAAAGAGGGAGAGAGAGAGAGAGAGACAACAGTGAGAGAGACAAATCGATTGGCTACCTCCTGTACACCCCCAATGGGGATTGAGCCAGCAACCCAGGCATGTGCCCTGACCGGGAATCGAGCCAGCGACCTCTTGGTCCATGGGTCGATGCTCAACTACTGGGCCACACAGGCTGGGCAGGGCTCCATCTTCTAGATGATCCCCTATTGGCAGCAATAAGCCACACTCATCAAAGGATTATGCCTCTTGGCCCCTTACTCCGCCAGTCCCCTGCAAGACTACAGCCGCCCCAGCCCCCCATATCTCAGATGATCTGTACTCAACTTCCTGGCCTTTGAATCAAACCACCTGAACTCAGCAAGCCTGAAGAGAGCAAGATGCCCAGCTTCATGGATAAAACCACTTCAGCACCATCCCTCTGCCAGTCTTTCATAAAAAGCAACTTTCCCATCTCCTAGTTTGTAAAAACTAGTTTTGCTTTTCCCTCTCCCCCATGGGAATCTCCTGCCAAGGACTAGAGAGACCTTTAAACTTAATCTGTTAACTACTCCTCTACCAAGTTGATAAACTCCCCAATCCCTGAAATCTCCACTAACTCAAAGGTCTCCTGTGAATCTGCCCTAGGTGCTCTATCATAATACTTGGCAAGTTTCTCTCCAACTGGTCAGTAGGAACCAAGGAGTATTTGAACCTCTCTAGCACCTATGCAAGACAGGCAGTATATCAACCTTTCATGTGACCCTTTACATATTAAAGTCACTCCTCAAGCCCTGGCCAGTTTGGCTCAGTGGTTAGAGCGTCGGCCTGCGGTCCGGAGAGACCCGGGTTCGGTTCCCGCTAAGGGCACGTACTTCGGTTGCAGTTTGTCCCCGGCCCTGGTTGGTCGTGCGGGTGGCAGCCACTCGATGTGTCCCTTCACGTCGATATTTCTCTCTCTCTCTCCCTCCTACTCTATCTGTACAAAAAATGGAAAAATATCCTCGGGTGAGGATAAAAAAATAAATAAATAAATAAATAATAAAGTCACTCCTCAAAATACATGTAAACACATATAAAAACCTTAAATATTCTACTAAAAGTGTAAATTGCAAAACTAAATAGCAATAAGAAACTTTTATAAAGCCTCTAGAGATAGTTTGTAAGATTTTTATTTTTTAAATGGATATTAACATTATATATTTACATCTTAAACCACCACCTAATTTAGTGAAAACAAGGCACTCCATGGCACAATGGCAGCAGAAGCTATTAACTAATCATTGTTATGCAGTCATAGCTATATAGAAACACCAAAGAGAATAAATAGACTTAATTAAAGTTAATAAGCAATGAGTATAATTATAAATACCAGATTTTAAACAGACATCTATAGATTTTACTATATAAGGATTTCACTCAAAGTAGACAAAATACATACTCAAACTTGGAGGATACCAAGTTAACTTCCTTTTAGTTGAGGCCTTTCCAACCTCAGTAACATTTCTAGATGAAGCATAAAGTTACTGCTGTACATTTTAAAAGGACTGGTCCAGCTTTAATTCCTCCTCTTCATTTACAGTATTGGCAGCTGCATCACTATGTGGATTATCTAGAATGTCTTTGTTAAGTCCATCTGACTCCTCTTTTTGATCCTCACCTGTATTAATATCTTCAACTGTCTGTGCCCTAGATGTGTTCATTGACAAGTCTGAAAGAGAAATCATTATTACACATTATATAAGCACCTAGTCCAATCTTACCTAACACAAATCTCTTCACAAGCTTCAATTAAAAGAAATGATATCTATGATCATTTTAGTTAATGTTAATTATGATTACTTTCTTCCAAATAAAGCCATTTGTATACATGTATAAAGCCCATTCAAAAACACAAGAGGTCTTGACCCTGGCTGGGTAGCTCAATTGGTTAGCGCATCATCCTGATATGCTAAGGTTGCAATTTGAACCCCGGTAACGGCACATACAAGGAGCAACCAATGAATGCATAAATAAGTGGAACAAATTGATGTTTCTCTCCCTTCCTTTTTCTCTCTGAAACCAATAAATAAACAAATTTTTAAAAATTTTTTAACGCAAGAGGTCCTGAAAGGTACTAAACTCAAACTCTTGAATCATTGCCAAATGGCAACTGTTCTCATTCAAAATCACAACTACTAGACAGAAGTTTTAAAAGATCAAATGCTGTCCTGGCCAGTTTGGCTCAGCGGTTTTCAGCCTGCAGACCAAAGGATCATGGGTTCGATTCCCGGCCAAGGGCATGTACCTGGGTTGCAGGTTTCATCCCCAGCCCCAATTGGGGTCATGTGGGAGGCCACCAATCACATTGATGTTTTTTTTTTCCTCTCTCTCTCCATCTAAAAATCAATGACAAAATATCTTTGGGTGAAGATTAACAACAAAAAAAGATAAAATGTGCCTGGCCGGTGTGGCTCAGTGGTTGAGCATTGACCCATGCACCAAGAGGTCACCAGTTCAATTCCCGGTCAGGGCACATGCCCAGGTTGTGGGCCAAATCCCCAAAAAGGGGCATGCAGAAGGCAGCCAATTGATTACCTCTCTCATCAATGTTTCTCTCTCTCCCTCTCCCTTCCTCTCACTCTAAAATCAATAAAGGCGAAAAAAAAATTTTTTTAAAAGATCAAATGCTTGCTCTGGCCTGTTTGGCTCAGCGGTTAGAGCGTTGGTCTGTGGACCAAAGGGTTTTGGGTTGGATTCCCAGTCAAGGGCATATACCTGGGTTGCAGGTTCAATCTCTGGCCCCAGTTGGGATATGTAGGAGGCAAACAATCCATGTGCCTCTCTCACATTGATGTTTTTCTCTTTCACTTTCTTTTCCTCCCTCCCTTCCCCTCTCTCAAAATCAATGGAAAAATATCCTCTGGTGAGGATTAAAAAAAAAAGATCAAATGCTCTTAACTGCTGTGTGTCAAAGTGATCTATAGTAAAGAAAATTTCAGATACTATTTTTACTTGGGCAAATTTTAAATTCATATATTATAAATAAGAGATGAGCCTTAAAATGCTTATTGCCAGGTACACCTTGATAATGACAGCAAGGAAGACACTGCCATCAACAACAGTTTTGTCTTCATGTAATTTTCCACATGGAAATAAAATGTTTGTAAATTTAAAAATTAAATTCATTTTAACTGGAAAAAAATCATGATAATGTAGTCACACAATTTTCCCTACTTACTATAATTCTTATTTTCCTATTTAAAAAAAAAAACTGAATTGGAAATTGAGAATGACATGCCATCCTGCCTCATTCAAAACCAATTTGCAATTTATTTATTTACTTATTTATTAATTGATTGATTGATTTAAAAGAAAAATTGACTTGTTGTTCCATGTATTTATGCATTCATTGGTTAATTCTTATATGTGCCCTGATGGGGTATCAAACCCACAACCTTGGCATATTGAGTTGATGCTTTAACCAACTGAGCTACCCAGCCAGGACTACAATTATTTTTAAATACAGTTTTAACAAACTTGGCTATCTAATTTCCAAACCTACAATTTGTTTTAAAAACAGCACATTTTGCCCTGGCTAGTGTGGCTCAGTTGGTTGGGCATTGTCCCATGCACCAAAAGGGTGTTGGTTCAATTCCTAGTAAGGGCTCATGCCAGGTTGTGGGCTCAATCCCCCCATAGGGAGAGTGCAGGAGGCATCGATGTTCCACTTTCACATCGACATTCTTTTCCTCCCTCTCTAAAAGTCAATAAAAATATTTTTAAAAAGTAAAAACAGCCCTGGGCAGTTTGCTCAGTGCTTAGAGCATCAACCCACAGACCAGAGTCTCAGGTTTCATTCTGATCAAGGGCATGTACCTCAGTTGCGGTTCAGTCCCCAGCCCTTGTCAGGGTTGTGCAGGAGGCAACCAATCAATGTGTCTCTCTAACATTGATGTTTCTCTCTCTCTCTCTCTCCACCCTCCCCCTCCTCCCTCCCACTCTATCTGAAGATAAAAGGGAAAATATCCTCAGGTGAGGATTAAAAATATATATATATATATAAATAAAAATAGTACATTTTAAGACAATTTTACTAGACAGAAGGGAATGTAACAGGTAATCAAGCTGATAGCTCACAACAAGTGACTCTATGCAATTTAAAAAAACATTTTAGGACCACCTATTCATGTCATAGTAAATGGCTCTAAAATCTTCAATGGGTGCAAAAGGCATTTTATATGTTTAGGAAAGTACCATAATAAATTGTTCATAATCATGGTCCTAAAGATAAAATTAAGTGTTACATGCTTTAAGGAGTCAAGAAAGAATATTATTTTGAAAGATTCAGAATCAATTTTAAATGATTAAAATAACTTTTTAAGAGGTACCCAACTATTCAGAAAACCATCTTGGACTCGTTTATTCTTTGGGGATTCCAGATAGTTAACACACACACACACACACACACACACACACACTGTCTCTTTCTCTTGATTGTACATAAACTTAATATACTGTATCATTTTTCTATTCTTAGAGGTATTTTATTTTGGGAGATAGTAGAGAAGTTAAAATTTCTAACATGCCCTTGCTATCTTAATGGTATAGCACATAAAAACTAGCATAAAATTTACCATTTTCCAGGGACTGACTATCACTCAGTAGCTTTGCCTGCCTTCTTTCCAAGGCCAGCTGTTTATTTCTTTGAATTCTTTGTTGTTGCTCTTCGGTTAGGCTTCTACTTGACTCAGAAGCAAACTTCACATTTTCAGATGAGTTTGTCAAAAAGGGATCTAATTCAGTAGCAGTTACATCATGGCCATTATTTTCCCCTACTTCATCTGCTGTAGAAAAGAAAAAGTGAGTGCATGTCTAGTATTAAACTAGTTAGAAAAAGAGCTTATACAGCTATTAATTTAAAATCAGTTTAAAGTGACGAGGTGCAGACCAGAAGAAACAATTTGTGAGGCATGAGAATGTTACAAATATATGCTTGATTCAAACAAGTAAAAGGAGTATTTATAAATCACTTTAAAGAGGCATGTTAAATCAAATAGAAATACTGTTTTAAAAATATGCACGAACAAAAAGCAAACGTTCTTAGTTATAATTAGAAATATTTTATGCTTGCACTAATAAAAGAACTTAAAGAACCCCCAAAATATTATTTTTTAAAACTACTTAAGTCCTGGCCAATTTAGTCAGCGGTTAGAGCGTCAGCCCTCGGACCAATGAGTTGCGGGTTCGAGTCCAGTCAAGGGCTCCCAGCCCTGGTTGGGGTCATGTGGGAGGCGGCCACTCAATGTGTCCCTTCTTTTTTCTGGTACACGTCCCTAGCGGGAACCGAACCTGGGACTCTCTGGTCCTCAGGCCAACGCTCCAACTGCTGAGCCAAACCAGCCAGGGCTCAATGTGTCCCTTTCACATCAATGTTTCTCTCTCTCTCTCTCTCTCCCACTCTATCTGAACAAAAATGGAAAAATGTCCTTGGGTGAGGATGGATAAATAAATAAATAAATGACTTAAAAATTTTTATTTCTTTTCTTCTTACATTGATTTTCAAAGAAGGGAGAGGGAGGGAGGGAGGAAGAGGGCCAGAGAGGAAGAGAAACAATGGTGTTAGAGCAAAATACCGGACAGATGCTTCCTGCATGTGTCCCAACCAGGAATCAAACCCACAACTCAGGCATGTGCCCTGACCCGGAATCTAATTGATGACTTTTTTTTTCTTTATTGACTTTTAGAGAGAGAGGAAGAAAGAGATAGAAACATCGACAAGAGAGAACATCAACTGACTGCCTTCTGCATGCCCCCTACTGGGGATTGGGCCCACAACTTGGGCATGTGCCCTGACTGGGAATCGAACCAGCAACCTCTTGGTGCGTGGGTCAATGCTCAACCACTGAGCTACACCGGCTGGGCGAACTGGTGACTTTTTGGTGCATGGAACGATATCTAAGCAACTGAGCCAAAGCAGGCCAGGGCCCAAAGAATATTTTTGTTTTACATTAAACAAAAACATTTAAATAGCTTGCCATAATACAGAGTAATAATTTTATATAAGCTATTTTTTAATAGGACAGACACAAAGTAAAAAAGGAAAAGAAATTTAGAGATCTGTGGACATATTTCCAAGTTAATTTTCCAAAAAATTCAGTGCATTATTCTCTACATTTTTGCTCTTAATAAACTCTTAAAGCCATATATACTGGTTATCTCAAAATAGGATACCCCTAAAATGATCCACAGTGTTATGGAAATTAAATATTAGATCTTCCATTTATAATTAATTTAAGAATTAAGAAAAATTAAACTTTACTAACTTATATTTAAAAAGAAGACTGGTAGCCCTGGCCAGTTTGGGTCAGCAGTTAGAGCGTCGGCATGTGGTCTAGAAAGACCCGGGTTCGGTTCCCACTAAGAGCACATACCTCAGTTGGAGTTTGTCCCCGGCCCTGGTTGGGTCATGCGGGTGGCAACTACTCAATGTGTCCCTTTCACATCGATGTTTCTCTCTCTCTCTTCCACTCTATCTGAACAAAAAATGGGAAAATGTCCTCGGGTGAGGATAAAAAAAAAATAAGGCCCTGGCCAGTTTGGCTCAGAGGTTAGAGCGTCAGCCTGTGGTCCAGAGAGACCCAGATACAGTTTCTGCTAAGGGCGTGTACCTCGGATGCAGTTTGTCCCCGGCCCTGGTAGGGCTGTGCAGGTGGCAACCACTCGATGTGTCCCTTTCACATCGATGTTTCTCTCTCTCTCTCCCTCCTACTCTATCTGAACAAAAAAATGGAAAAATGTCCTCAAAAAAAAAAAGGACTGGTAGTCCTTGCAGCTGATCAGCCTAAGTGGGTCCCTCCCATTGGCGTGCCAATAGCAATCAAGACTCAATTACAGCCCTGGCCAGTCTGGCTCAGCACTTAGAGTGTGTCAGCCTGCAGACCAGAGAGTCATCGGTTCCGTTCCCACTAAGGGCATGTACCTCGGTTGCAGTTTGTCCCTGGACCTGGTTGGGGTCATGCGAGAGGCAGCCACTCGAAAGGTATCCCTTTCACGTCAATGTTTCTCTCTCTCTCTTCCTCTTTCTCCCTCCCACTCTATCTGAACAAAAAAATGTCCTCGGGTGAGGATAAAAAAAAAGTCCTCGGGTGAGGATAGAAAAAAAAAAAAAGACTCAAATACAACAGAAAGATGTACAGTCCACACTAGGGGTGTACCTCGAGGGCCCAGCTGGTGTGATCAGCGAGGCTGTGCCACTGGATCCTATAGGACACCTACAACAATAGGCCACCCTATGAAGCCTAAGAGACAAAGCAACTCTACCTAATATATAGAAACAATCACAGGGAAGCAGCTAAAATGAGGAGATAAAACATGTCCCAAATGAAAGAAAAGAAGAAAACTCCAGGAAAAGAACTAAACGAAATGGAGATAAGCAATCTAACAGATGCAGAGTTCAAAACACTGGTTATAAGGATGCTCAAAGAACTTAGTGAGACCTTCAAGAAACTTAAGGAGACCTCCAAGGAACTTAAGTGAGAACATCAACAAAATATAAAAGGGCCAGTCAGAAATGAAGGAGTCACTAACTGAAATAAAGGATAATTTACAGAGAATCAATAGTAGAGTAGGTAAAGCCAAGAAATAAACCACTGATTTGGAATATAAGTAAGCAAAAAACAGCCAATCAGATTAGAAAAGGCAAAACAAATCCAAAATAATAAGGCTAGTGTAAGGAGCCTCTGGGACAACTTCAAGTGTGCCAACATTCACATCATAGGGGTGCCAGGAGAATAGAGCGAGCAAGAAAGTGAAAACATACGTACTTGAAAAATTAATGACAGAAAAATTCCCTAACTTGGTGAAGGAAACAGACACAAGTCCAAGAAGCACAGCAAGTCCCAGACAAGATGAATTCAAAGAGGTCCACACCAAGACACGTCATCATCAAAATGCAAACGGTTAAAGACAAAGAGAGACTCTTACAAGCAGCAAGAGAAAAAGCAGTTCCTTGCCTACAAAGGAGCTCCCACAAGACTTAGTTGATTTCTCAAAAGAAATTTTACAGGCCAGAAAGGAGTGGCAAGAGATATTCAAGGTGATGAAAAGCAACGACCTACAACCAAGATTACTCTTTCCTGCAAAGCTATCATTTAGAGTCGATGGACATATGAAGTGTTTCCCAGACAAGAAAAAGCTATAGGAATTCATCACCACCAAACCAGTATTATATGAAATGTTGAAGGGTCTTCTTGAAGACGAAGAACAAAAATAGAACAATAAAATGGCAATTAATACATATCTATCAACAATTGAATCTACAAACAAAATGAGCAAGCAGAACGGAAACAGACTCAGATACAGAGAATGTTTTGTTGCTTGCCAGATGGGAGGGGGTTGGAGGATGGGTGAAAAAGACAAAGGAATTAAGAAGTACAAACTGACTGTTAGACTGATGAACTTCAAAGGGAAAGGGGGAGGGAGGGTCGGATGAGATAAACCAAAGAACTTCTATGCATATATGCATAACCAATGGCCACAGACAATAGTGTGGGGAAGGCAGGAGGGGGCAGGATTGGGGAGGAAGGGGTCAATGGGGAAAAAAGAGGGGGCATCAGTAAAACATTCAACAATAAAGATAGATTAAAAATAAAAAAATAGCCCTGGCCAGTTTGGCTCAGCGGTTAGAGCGTCGGCCTGCGGTCTGGAGAGACCCGGGTTCGGTTCCTGCTAAGGGCACGTACTTCGGTTGCAGTTTGTCCCCGGCCCTGGTTGGTCGTGCGGGTGGCAGCCACTCGATGTGTCCCTTCACGTCGATGTTTCTCTCTCTCTCTCTCCCTTCCTCTCTCTCTCTCCCACTCTATCTGTACAAAAAATGGAAAAATATCTTCGGGTGAGGATAAAAAAATAAAATAAAATAAAATAAAAAAAATAATAAAAAAATAAAAAAATAAGGACTGGTAGTGATAAACTATCACTTATCCGTAGGACAATTATGTGGTCTGTAAGCTATCTTAATAAAGGCAGCTCCATGTTGAGAAAGGGGGTCGGGGGAAGAGTTGGGCCCTCACTCAGTTTTTAATTTCAGCATATTGTGACATACAGCTGATTCTGATTGCCCAGTTAAGTACACTTACAGACTCTCTAGTTTTAACCAAAACAACCCCAACAAAATGGACATATGGTAGCCTAAAAAGGTTTTTTGCAAAATAAACACCTGAAAGTAGAAGATATGAGCAAACTAAAAAAAAAAAAAAAAAAAGCATAACCTCATCAAATCTGACAACTAGACAAGAAAAAAAATTCTATTATCACTAAGACCATTTGAAATATAAATTTACAACAGAAAAGAAAATGAAAGATTAGTTTATATACACCATCCTTGTCTTATGTATATGCTATGCCTTTTAGGTTATTAGCTAGTGAGAGTAAAAACCGGCATAATTAACAAAACATTTAAAACATGAAGATAAACCTTTACAATTATTCTGGTAAAGTGTAAAGGTCGTGTATTTAATCCAATCTTTTACAATCCAAACCCCCTTTGAGGTTTCTTCCTTCCTGATAGGAAAAATTTTGTAGCAAGAAACTAAAATGCATTCCTTTGTCAGAAAATATTGATGGCATACAAGTAGAAAACATTGCTGGAGAAGTTAAGAGACAAGTATTAGAACCAATTGTGCAATATACAGGATTTCTAATATGCTTCACCTTATAGGGCTTACAAGATTCTAAATTAATACTAATAAAATACATAAAGAACTACTTTTTTGTTAGCCGTAAATGGAAAGGTATCGTCAATAGGAAATGGCCTCTTTAATGCAATGTTTAATGGAAAATCAATGTGAATATAAACACTGATGGGGCTAAAACTAGGATAAAATGGGATTAAAGACCAATTAGAACCACACATAAAATTCATTCACTGCAAATTGTAGGCAGGCTATTGTGGCAAAGAAGCCAAAGCCAGAAATATTCACTGTGTTACAGGATGCTATCATTTTGATAAACATAAACTAACAGATAAGCAAATTATATAATAAAAGGAAACAAGTGCTTATAAAAAAAAAAGCATAGGGGAATCAGGAATAGAAATGGGGTATAATTTTACCAGTGTGGTAAGGAAGACTTCAAAGAGTTGATATTTGAGCACAGTTTGAAGACAGTAAGTCCCTGGCTGGTTTGGCTCAGCGGTTAGACCGATGGTCTGCGGTCCAGAGAGACCCAGGTTCAATTCCCGCTAAGGGTATGTACCTCGGTTGCGGTTTGTCCCCAGCCCTGGTTGGTTTGTGTAGGTGGCAGCCACTGGATGCTATATTTCTGCCCTGGCTGGTTTGGCTAAGCAGTTGGAGCGTCGGCCTGCGGTCCCGAGAGACCCGGGTTCAGTTCCCGCTAAGGGCATGTGCCTCGGTTGCAGTTTGTCCCCGGCCCTGGTTGGTTGTGCGGATGGCAGCCACTCGATGTGTCCCTTCATATCGATGTTTCTCTCTCTCTCTCTCTTCCTCTCTCTCCCTCCCACTCTATCTGAACAAAAAATGGAAAAATGTCCTCGGGTGAGAATAAAAAAAAAAAAAAAATTAAAACTACCGCCCTGGCTGGTTTGGCTCAGCGGTTAGAGCATTAGAGCATCAGCCTGTGGTCCCGAGAGACCTTGGTTGCAGTTTGTCCCCGGCCCTGGTTGGGTTGTGTGGGTGGCAGCCACTCTATGTGTCCCTTTCACGTCGATGTTTCTCTCTCTCTCTCTCTCTCTCTCCCTCTCACTCTATCTGAACAAAATATCAAAAAAAAAAAAAAAGACAATAAGAGTTAGCCATATCGATTTGGAGGCTGGAGGGAGGACGGAGGACAATCGTCAAAGCAGAGTGAAAGAGTGCAAAAGCCTTAAAACAGAAATGTGCCTGGAAGGTTCAAGGAACAGCTGGGAGGCAAGAGTGGCTGAAACAGTATAACGATACAGTCAGAGAGGCAAGAGGGATGGCGTGAGGACACAGAACAAATTCTGTAGGGCCAAGCTGGACATTACAAGGGTTTTGGCTTTCATATTGAATAAAATAAGGAGCCACTAATGGGCTTTGAGAACAGGGGTGACATGACTACACATTAGTTAAAAATATAAAAATATAACCCCTGCTTAATTTTTAAGAAAACTAATTGATTGAAAGAGTAAATGAAAATTTTTTAGTAAACTTCAACAAAAATCCTTACATTAGCCCTGGCCAGTTTGGCTCAGCGGTTAGAGCGTCGGCCTGCGGTCCTGAGAGACCCGAGTTCGGTTCCCGCTAAGGGCGCATACCTCGGTTGCAGTTTGTCCCCGGCCCTGGTCGGTTGTGCAGGTGGCAGCCACTCGATGTGTTCCTTTCACATCGATGTTTCTCTCTCTCTCTCTCTCTCTCTCTGTTCCTCTCTCTCCCTCCCACTCTACCTGAACAAAAAAATGGAAAAGTGTCCTCGGGTGAGGATAAAAAAAAAATAGAAAAATCCTTACATTAGTGAATGGGATTAAAAAATGAACATCAAGATTTACTAAGTACAGTTAATAATGACCTACTTACATTTAGATTTCTGTTATCTTAGTAAGGTAAAAACCAATATTTGAAGGGAAAAAACAATCTACAACTGTACCATCAAATCACTGACCAAGCCCTGGCTGGTTTGGCTCAGCAGTTAAGTGTCCGCTCACGGACCAAATGGTCTTAAGTCCAATTCCCAGTCAAGGGCACGTACCTGGCTTGCAGGTTCGATCCCTGGCCCTGGTTGGGTCTTAGGGGAGGCTGCCAATTGATGTGTCTCTTTCACATCGATGTTTCTCTCTCTCTTTCTCCCCTTCCCTCCCTTCCACTCTAAGAATTAATTGACAAATATCCTCAGGTGAGGATTAAAACAGAAAGAAAGAAGAGGGAGAGAAAGAGAGAAGGAAAGGAGGGGAGGGGAGGGGAGGGGAGGGGAGGGGAGGGGAGGGGAGGGGAGGGGAGGGGAGGGGAGGGGAGGGGAGGGGAGGGGAGGGGAGGGGAGGGGAGGGGAGGGGAGGGGAGGGGAGGGGAGGGGAGGGGAGGGGAGGGGAGGGGAGGGGAGGGGAGGGGAGGGGAGGGGAGGGGAGGGGAGGGGAGGGGAGGGGAGGGGAGGGGAGGGGAGGGGAGGGGAGGGGAGGGGAGGGGGGAAGGAAATCATTGACCAAGAAGTACTGGCCCAAGATTTTTTTTTTTAATTCAGTAGATATTTATTCATATTGTTCTCACTTTAAAACTGTATGATAATGTTTTGGTGACAACAAAAATGTACATTATGATCAGTATAGTAGTAAATGTATTAGAAAAAGCAAATAAAACGCTCAAAACATTTTTATTGTTGTGGTGCCTGATCCAGAAGTTTTGTATTAGGATACAAAAAAGGAACAGATTCAACAAACAAGGTTCTCTGATATAGATCTCCTCTGTGTACCCTATATTTCAGCATGCCTGTGATTCCATGAATGGTCCCATGTTTATACACTCCTCTGCATAAATGGCTCTTTCTATCCAAAATCACCTCTGCCTGTTACTCCTTATCTTTCAAAGCTCTTGTGATACCTCCTCTGTGAAGCTTTCTCCTCCCCTAGATAAAAGTAACTGCTCTCCTTTGCACCCAACCCTGTGTCCTGTTCATATCTCTAGTTACAGGACCTATCAAACTACTAACAATGTTATATGTCTGACTCGTTCACCAGCCTGTTAGCCCATGAGACAAGGGTTTTCATCTTATTCATCTTTATCCCTGAAACTGTAGCATACAGTACACAGCCCAAAAAGTGGTACTGAATAAACCAATCCAGGGGTATATGCTGTGGGATTTAGTACTATAACTAATCCCTCCCATATACCAAATCCTATGCCATTGGTACATACCATATATTACCAAAAATTAATCTTGGATTATTTAAATCATAACCTTTCACACTTTTAAAAGCAACTTATTAATAATTTTGGGGAATTCTATATGAAGCCTGTATTTTCTATCACATCTATTAAAAGTTTAAAAAAACAAGTATGTACGGAGCCATCGCACAGAAAATCTGATAACTATACAGACTCTGTCGGCAGGAACCATATGTTTTGATGTATGTGACTGCCTATGATTGCAATGTACAGCTAACAAATGCAATCAATACCAGGAACAGTCACGTAAGTCTTACTAAAGTCCTATATCCCGAATTTGCACTCTTAAGTAAAATGTAAACTATTTCAGCATCAAATTATTCTGCCTAATTTCCCAGAGACACTTTTTTAATGATGTGCATGTATATGAACACTATATTTTGTCATACATTTTTACTACCAAGCACTACGAAAGATCTGTGAGTCACCATCAAAGTTCTTAAAAGCTCATGTCCTATGGCTAAATACATTTTTACATCTCTTAATAGCACTGCAGCCATGTCTTTAGAGCAGTAGTTCTCAACCTTCCTAATGCCATGACCCTTTAATACAGTTCTTCATGTTGTGGCGACCCCCAACCATACAATTATTTTCGTTGCTACTTCTAACTGTAATTTGTACAACTAACTGTTGCTACTGTTATGTCTTAGGCGACCCCTGTGAAAGGGTCATTCAACCCCCAACGGGGTCGCAACCCACAGGTTGAGAACTGCTGCTTTTTTTTTTTTTTCTTTTTATCCTCACCCGAGGATATTTTTCCATTTTTTGTACAGATAGAGTGGGAGGGAGAGAGAGGAAGGGAGAGAGAGAGAGAAACATCGACGTGAAGGGACACATCGAGTGGCTGCCACCCGCACGACCAACCAGGGCCGGGGACAAACTGCAACCGAAGTACGTGCCCTTAGCGGGAACCGAACCCGGGTCTCTCCGGACCGCAGGCCGATGCTCTAACCGCTGAGCCAAACTGGCCAGGGCGAGAACTGCTGCTTTAAAGAAACAAATATTATATACAACATTCTACATGTACATAAGCATTTTAACTTATTCCTATTTACTGTACTTTAAATATATACTCAAAATAGACTAAGAACCCAGTCCTATAATACTGTCCACACCAACTAAATCCATTTCTAAAAGAAGAATTTTTATAAAGTAGATAAACCTATACTCTTACCATTATTGCTAATAAAATCTTCATGTAAAACAGGGAGATCAAGTCGAATTCGTTTTAAACAGGTCTGAAAATAAAGAAATAATTTTACATTTTCACTAACAATATTTGGGGGAAATGATTATTTATTCCATTCTGAGTTTCAAAAAAAGAGTTGTTCTTTAAATAACTGCTATTAATTTTCCTTCTCTCTACCAAGACAGATTTTAAAATAAAGACCCAAAACAGCTACTTAGTTTTAACTAAATCTATTCTTGTACTATTCAACATCATGATATTCATAATAATCTCAACACATACCTGAACTTCCTTTTTATTTCCCAGGTATTCAACTCTGTCAATAAAATCCTCAAACTGCAGTTTAGGGAATAGTCTGTGTGCCCAGTGCTCCATGTGTCTTATTAGGGTCTTCAAGTCTTCAGCCTGGCACATAAAAATAAAAATGCTAAATAGAAAACTCATTCTCAGTACTGACCTTGTCAGCAGATTTTAAAATTGAATAGTAATGCCAAAGTCACTGGTGTCATTTTACATTTATAAGGTGAAGAAACTTTAAGAAGAAAAATATCTATTGAGGGCTTAGAGGATTATAGTCTAAAAGGGCACTGGAGCCCTACTGGTGTGGCTCGGTGGTTGAGCATCGACCCATGCACCAAGAGGTCACTGGTTCGATTCCTGGTCAGGGCACATACCCAGGTTGTGGGCCTGATCCCCAGTGAGGGGCGTGCAGGAGGCAGCCACTCGATGTTCTCTCTCATTGATGTTTCTAACTCTCCCTCTCCTTTCCTCTCTCTCTAAAATCAATAAAGAAAAAAAAATAATGTAAGAGCACTGGATGGTTCGATTCCTGGTCAGGGCACATGCCCAGGTTGTGGGCCCAATCCTCAATTGGGGGTATGCAGAAGGCAGCCAATTGATGTTCTCTCTCATCGATGTTTCTATCTCTCTCTCCCTCTCTAAAATCAATAAAAATAAAAAATAAAAATAAAAGGGCACTGGATACATTTTTTTTAATCAGAGGGGTAAAAAAGATAAAAGCTTAATAAAAGTTAAAAGATAATCACACGTGTCTTTTCAGAACTCTAAAGTAATACTAAAAATAAGCTTTAATAAAATATGTCAAGACACCTTTTAGGAATAACTAAACAAAGTGGCAGATCCCTAAGTCACATATAAAGAAAGTATTGATAAGTCAGCATTTTGAACATACATTCAGAAATCCCAAGGGCAAAGTACTGAAGACCAGCAAGAATAGTTTAAACATTCTCAGACCAGACTACCAATATTTGAAATTCCTTTTTTTTGTTCTTTTTGTTGTTGTTGTTGTTAATCCTCACCCAAGGATATTTTTCCATTAATTTGTTAGATAGAGTGGAAGGCAGAACAATAGAGAGAGAAGCAATGATGTGAAAGAGACACATGGATTGGCTGCCTCCCTTGACCCAACCAAGGCCAGTGATTGAACCTGCAACCCCATGCCCTTGACCAGGAATTGAACCCACGATCCTTCAGTCTGCAGGCAGAAGCTCAAACCACTGAGCCAAACCAGCCAGAGATGAAATTTCAATATAACATTAATTTTTTAAAAAATTAAATGGCCCTTACCAGTTTGGCTCAATGGCTGGAGCATTGGCCTGTGGAGCAGAGTCACAGCTTCCATTCCAGTCAAGGGCACTTCTTTGCTTGCAGTTCAATCCCCAGCCCTCATGGGGTCATGAGGGAGGCAGCCAATCAATATGTCTCTCTGTGTCAATGTTTCTCTCTCTCTCCCCCTACCCCGCCCCCTCCCTCCCACTCTATCTGAAGATGAATGGAAGAACATCCTTGGGTAAGGATTAAAAAAAAGAAAAAAATTAAATGAAATATAAAGTTTAATAAACTGGACTAATAAATGAGAAAAGTTCCAAATTCTGGGTTTTACTATAAAATACTTTATTCTTCTCTTAACAGTATTTTAAAATAGGAGATAGTTAAAAGCACAGACTCTGGATCAGACTACATAGATTCAGATTTCAATTCTACCACTTAATAGCTGTGACTTTGAACAAATTGCTTCTCTGTGCCTTTTTCTTCATGTATAAAATGAGAATGATAATATACATACCTCATCAGGTTATTATGAAGATTAAATAATACAAATAAAGCTCCTGACACAAAGTGAGCACTCAAATGTTGGCGATTATTGTTGTTATTTAATCTTGCCTTAGAAGCCAATGGTTGCCCAGCCAGTGTGGCTCACTGGTTAAGCGTCAACCCATGAACCAAGAGGTCGCTGGTTTGATTCTGGGTCAGAGCACATGACCAGGTTGTGGGCCAGATCCCCAGTGGAAGGTATGCTGGAGGCAGCCAATTGATGTTCTCTCTCATCGATGTTTCTAGCTCTCTCTCCCTCTCCCTCTAAAAATCAATAAAGGAAAAAAAAGTCAATAGTTGACAATCAACTCTACCAATAACTAAATATGTAATACTGTGAGTGTAATGTCTTATCATTCTCAGTCTAATAATAAAGATAACACTTCTTTTAAAAATTCAATCACCTAAAGTCATTTTCCAATTGTTGGAGGTTGCTGGCCACCTCACAACGTAATGTTAGACCCCAAGGACACAATAAGAGAAATATCTAAACATAATGGGAAGCCCCAAATCATACATGAAGAAAAAAGCAGTGAGGATTCAACTTTGTGAGAAAATAGTGAAAATTTTCAAGGGCAAAGTACAGAAGACCAGATAAACTCTTTCAGAGCCGACCCTCGCCCAGTGAAATGCAAAATATTTATCCTTCACATAAGTTTATCTTATGAAAACAATGAAGACTTCATAAATTCAAAGCACCAATTCATCATTATTTACTAAAAACTTCAACAAATTAATTAAATGAGGAGGGTATGGCTTTAATACATCTATGTTTAGCTTTGTGGTAAAACAGGACACAGGCTTTATTCTTTTCCTGTCCACTGAAGCTGAGCAAATATAATACAAGTTTTCAGCCTCCCAGGTTTGAATTCTTAGGATTATTTTTATTCCTTTTTCATCTCCTTAGGTCCAAGTCAAATGCAAGTACTATATGTTGATCTCTACTATCCCATACAAGCTGTTTTCACCTTGTTCCACTGGTAGTGCAACAGCCTCTGATTTGCTGTCTACCTCCAGTCTCTTCCCTCTTTCCAATTATCCTGCATACCACACCAATGTTTTTTAACATTATTCTAGCTGGGCTATGAAAAGGGAAGTCTAGGCTCTGTCCTAACTGTTGTCATCGGACACTTAAAACTCAGTCTCCTTAATTAGATAATGGGACCAACACTTATCCCATAGTTGGGAATTAAAAGAATATATTTAAAGCCCTGGCCGGTTTGGCTCAGTGGCTAGAGTGTCGGCCCACAGACCAGAGAGGCCGGGGTTTGGTTCCTGCTAAGGGCACATACCTCAGTTGCAGTTTGTCCCTGGCCCCGGTTGGGGTCGTGTGGGTGGCAGCCACTCGATGTGTCTCTCTCGCATTAATGTTTCTCTTTCTCCCACTCTCCCTCCTGCGCTATCTGAAGATAAATGTAAAAATGTCCTCGGGTGAGGATAAAAATATAAATTAATTTAAAAAATAAGAATATATTTAAAAGTACTTCATAAACTGCAAAGCTCTATAAAGATATCATCTGCAAAAAAAGTATCTACATGATTCAAAGATAAGAAAAATTTTAAATGTACGTTCGTCCAGTGATTGAATGTCTCCATTTTTCAACAAAACTTAACTGATGCCTGTTATGAACCAGGCATGGTGCCATATCTTGGGGACATGTAAATTATCAGTACAGGTAAAGTCCTTGCTCTCATAAAGCTTAAAACCACTCTCTGAAGTAGACAAAGGAAATTTTATTCCTCAAAATTATAAAGTACAAACTCAGGCTTACTGACTCAGATATGATTTTAGTTAAAGGCATACTGTGGCAAAACCAAGACTACACAAATGTTTTCTTATTTGTGCCCTTTCCACATCATAGTTTCTCAAAAGATACAATGATGAATGATTGCACCTGTGAAACATTCTAAGATTCCTAACATGGTAACAGGCCCAGTTTTATAGATACAGTAAGCTCTACTTATCAGTGGGTTCTGCATCCCCAGATTCAACCAACTGTGGATTGAAAATATTCAGGGGGAAAAGGTTACACTGTTGTTGACATGTGCAATGTAGTAAGGCCTAGAAGGTTGCTGCCTCTGCATCTGTACTGAACATGTAGACTTTTTTCTTGTCGTTATTCCCTAAATAATATAACAACTATTTACTTAACATTTACATTGTATTAGGTATTACAAGTAATCTAGAGATGACTTAAAGTAGGTTATATGCAAATACTATGCATTTTATATAAGGGACTTGAGCATCTGTGGATTTTGGCAATCGCAGGGGTCCTAAAACCAATCCTCCCAGAAACTGAGGGACAACTGTATTTTAAAAAACAAAGGTCTGAAATAAAAACCAGACATTCCTTACCTCATGACCTTTACCTTTGAATTTTGCCTTATCAAATACATGTCTTAATGCTGGAAGCCCCCTCTCTGAAATTAATCTGTGAATAGAAATAAGTTTTTAATTCCAAGTTTTCTAGAGCTATCAAGGCCAAACCAAGACCTTAAGAAGAAATTAGATATTATCTGGACTGAAAATAAAATCTTTATAAATATCTGATCTGCAAATCATCCCAACTAAAAGTTTGTAACATAAGAAAAAAAAAATGTAAAAAAAAAAAGTACAAATGTTTAAGGAAATAGTAAATATACCTCTGAGCATCCAGCTTGGGTATATTCCTTTTAACTGTTCTCTTTGGAGGTACAGGAACAGGCGCTCCTCTTCCTGACTCTGGTGAAATATACCAAGATTTAATATTACTTAAAAAATTTAAGCCTCACCTATAAAATGACTCATTTCTAAGCTGATAGATGGATAACTAAACACAGACATTTTTTTGGAGCTCTATACATACCATCATCAGTTTCAGCTCCTTCACCATTTCCTCTCTCTGGAGAAACTGGAGGCGGGAAAGGAGGAAAAGTTTCATCTTCTACATCTTCTGGTAGGTCAATCAAGTCATTCTCCTGTGGCTCCAGCATCTTTTCCTCTGGAGGGAAAAAAAGTAAACAAGTTTATTCATCCAAGTAATCTTCCTATTACACAATTAAGATCCACCTGCAGTGTCTGGCTGGTGTAGCTCAGTGGACTGAGCGTCATCCCATGAACTGAGAGGTCCTGGTTTGATTCCCGGTCAGAGTACATGCCTGGGTTTCAGGCTCAATCCCCAATAAGGGGTGTGGAGGAGGCAGCTAATCTATGTATCTCTCTCATATCAATGTTTCAATCTCTCTCCCTTCCTCTCTCTCTAAAAAATCAATAAAAATATATATTTTAAAACAATGATCCACCCGCAGCAAAATTCATGTGTTTCAGTCCGTTAAAACATATTTTAAACTTACACACAATGAAAAGAAGTGGAGGTAATAATTATGAAAAAAAGAACTAGGCTAGCCCTGGCAGGTTTGGCTCAGCGGTTAGAGCATCCGCATGCAGTCCAGAGACCAGGGTTCGGTTCCTGCTAAGGGCATGTACCTCGGTTGCAGTTTGCCCCCGGCCCTGGTTGGGTCATGCAGATGGCAACCACTCGATGTGTCCCTTCCACGTCGATGTTTCTCTTTCTCTCTCTCTCCCTCCCACTCTATCTGAACAAAAAACGAAAAAATGTCCTATGTCCTCGGGTGAGGATAAAAAAAAAAGAACTAGGCTAAAAATTAGAGGAACTGAATTTTAATGTATACCCTACTACTAAATAACAATATAATTTTGAACAAATTATTTTACCTCAGCTGTTGAGTTTCCTCTATCATAAAATGATTTGGGCTTTTCAGAGGACTTCAAACTATGGTCCAAATGGGTGTGAAATATGCAGGGGATAGGTACCTCACCTGCCACTTCAACCAGAGCAGCTTTTAACAGAAATATGCTTACATATTGATCTTCTAGGTAAGGTTTCCTTTGAAGAAAGGAAAGTAATCTTCAGGTTGATAACTTGAAAGAATGCTTTCAGTATCATCTTACTTGACCTCTCAGCAACATCGGACACTTTTGATCAGTTCCTTTTCTGGAAAAGTGTTTCCATTAACTATTAAAACATAATAGTTTTATGTTCACCTGGTTTTCCTCCCTTTCTGGACACTCCTTCTGGATCTGCTTTGAAGATTCATCTTCCTCTAACCTGGTCAGTAAGTATCCAAGATTCCAACCTAGGCCCTCTTCACTTATTTACACACATAGCTTTAATAAGCATTTACAGATGACTAATTTTTTTTTTTTTTAATTAATCCTCACCCGAGGACATTTTTCCATTTTTGCTCATGTAGAGTGGGAAGGAGAGAGAAACAGCGACATGAAAAGGACACATCGAGTGGCTGCCTACCACACGACCTCAACCAAGGCTGGGGACAAAGTGCAACAGAGGTACGTGCCCTTAGTGGGAACCGAACCCAGGTCTCTCTGGACCACAGGCCAACTCACTCATTTTTTATCTCCATCCTAGGCATCAAGTCTGAGATCAAGATCCCTACTTTTCATTTTACAGCTCTTAAATTTCTCTGCCCTGGCCGGTTTGGCTCAGTGGTTAGAGAGCATCGGCTTGTGGTCCCAAGAGACCCGGGTTTGATTCCCACTAAGAGCATGTTGCAGTTTGTCCCCGGCCCTGGTTGGGTTGTGCAGATGGCAGCCACTTGATGTGTCCCTTTCACATCAATGTTTCTCTCTCTTCCTCTCTTTCCCTTCCACTCTATCTGAACAAAAAAATGGAAAAATGTCCTTGGGCGAAAAAAAAATTTTTTCTCAAAGGCACCACCCGGCAGGTGTGGCTCAGTGGCTGAGCGTAGATCCATACACTAAGAGGTCGCCAGTTCGATTCCTGATCAGGGTACATGCCCAGGTTGTGGGCCAAATCCCCAGTGGGGGGCATGCAGGAGGTGGCCAACTGATGTTTCTAGCTCTCTCTCCCTCTCCCTTCCTCTCTCTCTCTCTAAAATCAATAAAGAAATATATTTTTTAAAAATTTCTCAAAGGCACCTATAAATCATATACAAAACTGAACTTCTAATTTTCCCAATTCACTGAATGACATATAGCCTATGTCAGAAACCTACAAGTCATCCATAACACTTCCCTCTACCCTACATATCCTATCCATTTTACCTCCTTTATAAATATCCCATGATTCTGTCTATTTCTCCTTATCTCCACAACCACTTCTTAACATTTCTACTTGGATTACTCCAACACTCCTATCCACTTTTGCCTTTTCCAATCCATTCTCCATGTAACAGCTAAGTTGAACCTATGGAATGTGAAGCTGATCATTTTTAAAAGGTCTGAGCCAGTGGGAGATCACATCCACGAGGCAAGGCAACTTAGAGCAAAATGATTTTATTGCAGACGCCTGGGTGCAGGCAGGCTGAGTCAGATAGGGGTCAGCCTCCAATAACATTTGGGATATAGTTTATCTATTCTACTTGTAGCTTCTGGCGGTTTCTGCTGACGTACTCTGCATGGCCCATTGCCCACTTTGCTGTTGGACTGGTCTGATATCTCGTCCTGCATCTGCTGGGTGATCTGCTGGCTGTCTTACCGATAACATGAGAATCCTCACTCAACAGAAGGCTGAGCAAAGGTCATGCAAGCATCAAATTTTTCAGTTTCCACCTTTTGCAAGCTTTTACCTTTACCCTTTAAAACTTAACTAACTCTGCCCTGGCCGGTTTGGCTCAGCGGTTAGAGCGTCGGCCTACGGTCCGGAGAGACCCGGGTTCGGTTCCCGCTAAGGGCACGTACTTCGGTTGCAGTTTGTCCCCGGCCCTGGTTGGTCGTGCGGGTGGCAGCCACTCGATGTGTCCCTTCACGTCAATGTTTCTCTCTCTCTCTCTCCCTTCCTCTCTCTCCCTCCCACTCTATCTGTACAAAAAATGGAAAAATGTCCTCGGGTGAGGATAAAAAAAAAACAAAACTTGACTAACTCTTTCAGTTTTACCACTTGGCTTAAATATTTCAATGGCTTTCTTCTGCTCTTAGGATAATGAGCACCGTCCTACATCTCCAGCTTTATACCACTTTTCATTCATTTCTTTGAAAACGCCATATCCCTCAGGCCACTAGACTTTTTGGCTCTTCCTTGACTCCTACCTAATCTCTTTCAGATCTCTACAATCACCTCCACAGAAAAGTCTCCCCCAATTTCCCTAAACTAAATCCTCCTATAATAAGCATTCAAAGTATCAAGTACAAGTTTCATAGCACTAACCCAGTTTCAAATTAAGTTCTATTTGTGTGATTATTTGATTAATGTTTGTCTCCCACACTAGAATGTAGCTCCAAAAGGGCAAAGACCAGGTAGGTCTCATTGTGCTTCACACGCCATCTCCAAAGCTGCTACACAGCAAATGTTCAATATATATTTGTTGAATGAGACAATGAAGAAAATAATTCCAAAGCTTCCCCAAAACTGTAAAACTTCTGGAGCTAGATGATCTCTAGTCTCTCTAATTCTAAATTTCCATGACTACACTACATAAAAACAAAATAAATATCAATTCTTTATAATGACCCACTTGTACCTTCAAGTAAGGTTCAAGAATCAGATCTTTCGCCCTGGCCGGTTTGGCTCAGCAGTTGGAGCGTTAGCCTGTGGACCAGACTCCTGGGTTCGGTTCCCACTAGGGGCACGTACCAAAAAAAAAAGAATCATAGGTTTTCAAAATTGGAAGAAAGGCAGTCAGAGATCATAACCTCTCAAGTAGCTTTCTACCTACAATAAATTTATGTAGCCCCAATCTCGTTAAGCCCTCTAGGAAGAAATGGGGTTGATGCCTCGGAGGCTGAGGGAGCCGAGTTTGATGACAGGGCACACACAACCTATGTTAAGTGTGGCCTGATGGTATATCAGGAACGGGGAACCATGGGGTGGGGCTGTACACTGGTAGTGAACACGATATACCTCTTTCACTTATTTTTAATTTTATTTTCATATTTTTATATCTTTCACTTCTTGATAATTGTTGCATTGTCTCTTTACAGTCTCCTTTTTAGGCATGGATGAAATTCTCTTAACCTCTTCCTCTCGTCCTCAAACTCCCAGAGAAGTGAACATAACAAAGACATGGATTGTCCAAACTACAGCTCGCTCCCAGACCCTTTCGGTGTCCAATGTCCAACTTTTTCCAACTCATCAAAACAGAGGCCCCTTTGGCAAGGGACGCTGCGCCGGACTGCCTCGACGTCCCTCCCTGCTGACCATCCCTGAACACAGTTTCCCAGCCCTCGGCTCTCCAACCTTCTCCTCCTCACTCCCCCGTCTACTCTCACTTCACCTTCATCCATGCAGTAGTCACGGGATGCCTTCTCCGTTTACAAGCCCACGGTCAGAAACTGGCCCTGTGAAGATGTCTGTGACACACGTTCCCTCAGGCTAAAGGGTTAGGTTTAGTGAAAGGCTGACCCAAAACAAACAAACAGTAAACGTGCCCGCCCTTGTCCCTCCCCACAGGTCACCTCGCCCCACAGGTCGCGGCCTTCAGGCCTCTACTGTTCCGCTCCGCCCAAGTCCACCTCAGCTCTGTATTCCATCCTCCTCACTACTGCCCGGCACACGGCTCCTCCGCCGGAGTCATTAGGCCGCTTCTCCCCTAAAGGACTTCACTCTCCCGCTGGCCCGCTCTCACCTGCATGCGGACAGCAGCGGCTGCAAAACCGTGATTGGGGCAGAGAGCAAACCACGATTCTCGCGAGACTCTAAAGCTACCGCCGCGAAAAGAGCCCTGGGCGTTTGGCGCCAAATCTGCGCACGGCCCGGACGTTGCTGCCGGATCCTCCTCGCTCAGGCCACGCCCGCCCACGTCCGACTCCGCCTTTCCTGGGCCACGCCCACCCCACCGCTCCCCTCCCACAGCTTTCTTCCGCCTGAATTCCTCGGAGGTGTTAAATCTCCTCCGAGGTTCTCCGTGAGGTTCACCTTTGTTACGCGATAGGCATTTTAGACTTTGGAAACGGGTCTCAGTTTAGAAAACTGGATTTGGATGGAGTACAAGGGTAGAGGCAAACAATTTGATGAGAAACTACCGATTCTTCCGAGTTAACAGAATTCCTTGAACATGGAATTTTATTAATTGCTTATCGAATAATGAGCTGAGATAAAAGAGGCGGTAAAGAGTGAGTGTTTAGGAGTGTAGACACAAATAAAAATATCAAGGATTTGTTACCCTTAATTTCTTAAAGTGAGTTCAAATATATTCGTACATACGCACTCGCACACTAAACGGGGTGGGAAGAATACATATATCACACCTGTGGGGATGGGAACTGGGCATATTGAAAACGGTGGGACCGGGACTTCACTCTACTTTTTTTGAACATATAAATGCATTAAATATGCAGAAAAGTTTTCTGCAGCAAATATAGCTTCAAGATTTGACAAACCGAGATTATGAGTGGTGTTCACAACATTCTATTTTTCTGTAGCCTGAAATATTTTATTAAAATTATAAAAGAATAAATCAAGTGTAAAAAGAAGATAAAATAAATTGTAGGCTCTATTCAAATTATGTGTACAAATATGTATATATACCACATTTTCCTTAGTTTTATGGTTTATTTCTGTACATGTAAGATAACATTAATATTAAGCAATTAACTAAATTAACATTAATTTGAACAGGAAATATGTCAGTCTCAAGTGTCTGAATAACTAAGGCAAGGGGCATTCTTCTAATTATCCAGATAGTCTATATTCTCTACTTTATGTCTAATAAAGTAAATATAAAAGCACTTGAAGCCCTAGCCTGTTTGGCTCAGCCCTTAGAGTGGTTAGAGTGTCGGCCCCAGGCCTGAAGGGTCACAGGTTTGATTCCAGTCAAGGGCAGGTACCTGGGTTGCAGGTTCCGTCCCCCTGCCCCTTTCAGGGTCATGTGGGAGGCATGTGTTTCTCTCTCTCTTGCCCTCCCTTCCTCCCCCCTCCCTTCCACTCTCTCTAAAAATTCAATGGGAAAATATCCTCTAGTGAAGATTTT